CTAGATTAGAAAAAGGAGAGAGAGAGACACTTTCAGATACTATTGGAATCATCGTATTATATCTTCCATGATATAAATGTATATATAAAGTCAGTTATATATAATTATCAGCAGCTCCATCTTAAATATCATTATGTACTGTTCTATGTATAATGCTGAGATTATCATGCTGTTGTGACAACAAGATGCATCGGACTTCCAAAAATACGGCCTCAATTAACAAAACACAAATTGTGGTTATAGTTGTGTGTGTATATAGATGTCTGTGTGTGTGTGTGTGTGTGTGTGTGTGTGTCGTGTGTGTGTGTCGTGTGTGTGTGTGTGTGTGTGTGTGTGTGTGTGTGTGTGTGTCGTGTGTGTGATGTGTGTTACGTGTCTGAAATACCGCTTTGAATTTTCTTCTCGATTCTTCACGCTTAAGGTTCTGCATAATCCCTCACGACTTAACCAGATCATCTTGGACTCTCTATAAGCGACGTCGAGTCTTAATTATCCCATTATAAATCTTGAAGACCAATGTAATTACTTTGAAATTTGTTATTATCAAATGGTTTATTAAGAGAAAGGTATCAGCAGGTGGTAAAAAATGACTCCAAAGATAAATCAATAGAATTGGAGGAAAATATACAAATGGATGGAGTGGGTGGATGGATGTGTGTATGTATAATACCTATATATGTATGAGTGTGTTTATGTGCAGTTGTATGAGCACGACTGTAAGTAATCACGCATTACACCCCCCCCCCAATCCTAAAAAAAAAAAAAAAAAAAAAAAAAAAAAAAAAAAAACGACAGCAACTTCTTCGGAAACGCCAACCAAAAGATAAACGAAGAAGGGATGAAATAAAGATGAAGGAGAAGAAAACGAAAGAAGAAATTAAAAAGAAAACGAATGAATGGAGAATGAAAAGAAGTATGACATAAAGAGAAAAAAATGAGAACAAAAATGAAAAAAATCGAATAGAAAAAAAAAAAAAAAAAAAAAAAAAAAAAAAAACACGACAGCAACTTCTCGGAAACGCCACCTCGTGCCCCGACGTCATGCACGGGGGACAAGCACATTGACGCGCCGGTAATTTTGCATGCATTCCTGAGATTAGCCCTGCATGAGAGCAAGCAGTCCGAGTCGCGGCTGAGTGGAGGGACTTCGTAGAGGCGTGGATTTTCTGTCTGTCTTCTCTCTCTCTCTCTCTCTCTCTCTCTCTTCTCTCTTCCTCTCTCTCTCTCTCTCTCTCTTCTCTCTCTTCTTGCTCTCTCTCTCTTCTTAAGGCACGCGGGAAGGAAAAGGGGGGGGGGAGAAGAGAGAGAGAGATGAGAGAGAGAGAGAGAGAGAGAGAGAGAGAGAGAGAGAGAGAGAGAGAGAGAGAGACAGAGAGAGAGAAGAGAGGAAAGAAGCAGAAAGAGGGGGGGAGGAAAGAGAAAGGGGACAGATAGAGAGGAGAAGATAGAGAGAGAGAAATATTTGAATATAGATAGATTGATAGAGAGAGAGAGAGAATAGGAGGATGAAATAAGAAGAATCTTCATAAGTAATCCTTCTACGCAACCTATCTACATGTGCTATATTGATTCGAGAAAAAGAAGAAAAAGAAGTAGGAGAAGAAGGAATAAAGAAGGTGGAGAAAGGAGAAGACGAAAGGGAAGTAGAAGAAAATGGATGATGAGGAGATGGGGAAGAAAAAAAGAAGAGAAGAGAGCGGAAGGAAGAGAGAGAAAAGAAAAAGAGAAGAAGATAACCAAAAGATAACAGAGAAGGATGAAATAAAGGATGAAGAAGAAGGAAACGAAGAAGAAATAAAAAAAAGAGATGGAGAATGGAAAGGAAGTATGACAGAAGGAGAAAAATGAGAACAAAAATTAAAAAGACGAATAGGAAGAAGAAAAGACAGAATAATGATTATAATAATTTTGACAAACGCAATTATACTGAACACGCACAGCATATGCTTAAAACATACTGCAATAGCATGGGAAATGAGAGAAGGGAAAAGAGAAGAGGTAGGAGGGGACGAAAGGGGAAGACGAGAAGGAGGTGGGAGGAGAGGGAGAAGAGAGAGAGATGGAGGAAGAAGAGAAATAGAGAGAGAGATGGAAGGCAAGAAATTGTGATATATATATATATATATATATATATATATATATATATATATATATATATATATATATATATATATATATATATATAATAGTATATATATATAGAGAGAGAGAGAGAGAGAGAGAGAGAGAGAAGAGAGAGGAGAGAAGAGAGAAGAGAGAGAGAGAGATGGAGGAAGAGAGAGACATAGAGAGAGAGATAAAGGAAGGAGGGAGAAATATATAGATAGAGAGAGAGAGAGATGTATAGAAAAATAGACATATATAAACAGAAAGACAGAGAAAAATAGAATTTTAAAAATCAGCCAAAGAGAGAGAACAGACAAAATGTAAAATAATAAAAAGAAGAGAGAAAGCGTCAAAAAACAACAACAGATCTACCGTTTTTGCACAAGTCATCATAAGTTATTTTACACGCACTCTGCATATTCACGCATGCAGATTACGAAAATAAACGTCTTTACATACGTGTCTTTGTTACGTACAAGGAATGGAAAGAAGAAAGCAGATGTAAAAGAAAGAAAGAAGTGAAAAACAAAGAAGGAGGATTTTTTTTTTTAGAAAATAAAATAAGAGAGAGAGAGATAGAGAGAGAGAGAGAGAGAGAGAGAGAGAGAGAGGAGAGAGAGAGAGAAGAGAGAGAGAGAGAGAGAGAGAGAGAGAGAGAGAGAGAGAGAGAGAGAGAGAGAGAGAGAGAGAGAGAGAGAGAGAGAGAGAGAGAGAGAGAGTATCTGTTACATACAGATAGATCAAAAGGGTGTAAAAAAATAGGATAAAGGAAGAAATGAATAAGTATGCAAAGAAAACGAAAAAAAAAAGTAATAGCAAATAAGAGGAAGAAAAAAATATGGACACAAATCAAAAAGAGGATATATCCTGTTATCCTAAATTATCCATAATCATTTATGTAATTAAGAGTCCGTTTTTAATTGTCTTGTAAGTGTGTTGTGAATTTTCAATGATTTTCACCTCAATTAATAGGTAGTGAGGGTGGGGGGGGGGAGGAGGAAGGACGGGGGGGGAGGTAAGGGAAAAGATGGGGGAGGAGAAAGGAAGGGGACGAAGAGAGAGGAGGAGGAAAAGGGGAGGGAGGGAGGGAGGGAGGGGGGAAGGGTAAAGGTAGAAGGGAAGGGGAAAGGAGGGGGAAATATAGGAAAGGAGAGGAGAACGGAAGGGGTTTGGAGAGAAAGAGAGAGAAAAACAATAGATGGGAATGAGAAGAGGGAAGAAGAGGTTAGGGAAGGAAAGGAGAAGGAGGTAAGGGCATGATGAGGAGAGCAAAAGCGAAGAAAAGGAACTGAGGGACAAGAAGATGAAAAAAGGAAGAGAGAAGAGAACGAGGAATGAAAGGGAAAAGAAGTGAGAAGGAAAGACGAACGGGAGAAAATCGAAAGGAGATGAAGGGAGAAGGAAGAAGGAAGAGGGAGAAAGGAAAGGTTAGATAACATGGTGTACAGACGAAGGGCGTGGTAGTAGGTCACAGGGAGGAGTGGGGTGCCTTGCCCTGGCCGCTATAACGAGTGGTCTCTCTCAACGACTCAAATATCAATCTAATTAAACCTCGTCGTTAAACATCTCATTACGAAAAGACATGAGAGAATCTGAACGAATGACAGGAATTAAGAGAAACCACAGGATACGAACATAGATTAAGGTACTTACTGTCCCAGGAATGGAGTCGCGATCAGTGAACAAGGTATATCATGTCTTATATGGTTAAACTATAAGTGAATAACAAATGAATGCATGAATGTATAATCACATAAATAAGAAGATTTATGATAATAACAGAACTATTAAATACTAATTAACACAAAAATACAATTATAATGCTAATTAGTGACTGCAAATATATTGAGTCTTACTGAGTACCTCCCAGCAAATATTTCGACTTCAAGTGAGGTAAAAATACAGATTTACAAGAATACCACCATACATTTTTTAGCATGTATTTTTTTTAAATCTATTTATCTATCAATTTATTTTAGCAAGCAACAAGGTATCTCCTAGGTCTCTGTGATCTAAGGTTTGTTTTCCATTGTCACGGTTTTTCTGAAGGTCGAACTGCAAGACGTCATTGAAGAACAGTCGACATGTTGCAAGACTGGAAGGTGGCGGGTTTGCAACTAGGGTTTTGCAACAATTAGAGAAATGAGAGAAGTGTGAGAGATAATGGTAAGGAGTCGCTGAAGAGGAAAAAGGGGAAACGAGAAAGGTGAGGGAGGAAAAAGAGATGATGGAGAGGGAGAGGGAGAGAGAGAGAGAGAGAGAGGAGGAAGAGAGGAGGGAGGGAGGGGGAGAGGAGAGAGAGAGAGAGAGAGAGAGGAGAGAGAGAGAGAGAGAGAGAGAGAGAGAGAGAGAGAAGAGAGAGAGGAGGAGAGAGGAGAGAGAGAGAGAGAGAGAAGAGAGAGAGAGAGAGAGAGAGAGAGAGAGAGAGAGAGAGAGAGAGAGAGAGAGAGAGAGAGAGAGAGAGAGAGAGAGAGAGAGAGAGAGAGAGAGAGACTTACAGACAGTTCATCCCAAGAAAAATGAAAGACAGCTACACGCAACACGCAAAGAGCTATTTTAATTTTGTTTACTCTTCATAATCATTTTGTTTACTTCCCAAAATCTTCACAGTTCATTAGTTGCTTTTCGTGGAAGAACATGTAAACAAGAGAGCCTGAGAACCGCGAGATGAAAATGCATCTTAAAGGTTGTATTTGATCATGATGATAACAATGATGGTGAGATATGTATATCAGAAATTTAATCGCATTGGAATATGGTATTTGTGATCATGTTATACCTTTATATATGCTCTTAACTGAATGTCTTTATACTCATGGTCTCTCTCAGTAAGGAAGTCTTTGTTTACATCACGTGTGGTAGATCGCGGCAGATGCGCTGTTTACTAAATCCAA